GGACTTTTCGGACATTACATTCGTACATACCAGTTCGATTTCTGCGCGTTGCGATTTATTTTTATCCACTCTTCCTTCGAGCATCCTAACGCCGCTTTGAGATTGCTCAAGGAGAGCGTTTTCGGGCGTAACGCCAACGCACGACTTGCCGAAATGGGGGGGTGGGGGGGGAGAAAAGACGAAGTAAAGGGATAAGCGGGAGGGAAACGGACGGTGAGAAGGTGCCGTGTCATTTTCGTCAATTTAACGGTCCCCTTCCTCCCGCGACTCGCGAAGCAGCGGAGTCTCTCGGTGAGTCCCCACCGTGATAGTGCCCTACCAAAGTCCGCCCCTGGCTCGCTCCCACCCTCGCCTCGTCGAAGTGAGGTCAATCGACGGAGAGGGCTGAAGACGACCCCCACCCTCTTGCAACGACCCTCCCTACCACGGCTACTCAATATCGTTTCATTACGCACCCTGCTCCACCGACCACCCGACCGCCCTCCACCCCCCCTTTGCCTCTCTGTCTCTTTGCCCTCTCTTGCGCCTTCTCTCTCGCCTCACTTTAACCCCCGTCGTACTCCTCACTTCTCGCCCTCCTCCCTCGAGTCCCGCCGTTCCTACCGCGGCGACGAAACACGAACGCCGACGAATTTTTATTGTTACTTCTCGCGCCGCTTCCTCTGACCTCCCTTCAACTCCCCCAGCCCCCACCCACCCCCGGCCACCCACCACCTTCTCCTCTCCCTTTTTTATGCGCCTTTTAACGATCAGCAGTAACTGCGCCCATCCGCCTCCCCCTTGCTTGCGCCTGCCTTGCCTTGCCGCGCCGAGCCTTTTCGGGAAACGGAGCGGATGCGGCGGAACAATGGAAAAAGGGATGATACGTGCGTCGAGATATATTGCTCCCCGCGTTCGCGTCCGGTTTTCGTTCGTAATGCCTCCCCGGCACGATACGGGAAGTAATCGAGCTAATCGGCAATGACGTTGCGCACAGCCTTATCTGCTCCGACTGGTTCAAGTTTCAGATCTCGTGAGAAAGGTATCGTGTTTTAACGGTCTTTATACATCCAGCTCTTAAGAACTATTAATATTACATCTTTCATAAAAGCTATACCCTCTATAAATCTTCTACTAGACAATGAAATATTACCGGATATCCAGCGGCAAAGCGCATGCTCGCATAATCCACGTTTCGCATGAATGAAAAGCAAGCGTGCGAGATAGATGGGCCTTCACTTTTCTTAACATCACAGAGATTAACGCGATCATTTCGACTTCGCGGACGTACAATACAGGCGTTACTTGATAGAACTCTTCGCACCTTTTTACTTCTCGTCTCCCATTTTAGCGATAATAACTAAAACACGAAACTAACTTTCTATTTAACTTTTCCAACCGCGGTTCGTTACGTTTTTGACATTTTCCAACTGCCTTTTGTTACAGTTTTCATTCTTCTTCCTTCTCTCTTCGCGGAGGCGTAAACTATAGAAAATTTAACAAAACGCGGTTGAAAAGGGCGGATTTATAACTTTTTTTTTTTTTTTTTTTAAATTACGGCGTTTATTTCAACTCTTATCGTTTCTAAAAATTTCTGACCACAAAGGCGCGATTTGTTCTTTCAAAGAGCAAAACTCTGACGTTTCTAATCGCGTGCACGTGTACGCCGCGCCACGCCGTTGCCTCGCAACTGCGCTCGGCCGCGAAGAAGCAGCTGGTCGTCTCTCTCTTTACCTATACTACGTCGATCCACTTCTGCGTTTTCACGTTCGCTGAATACGCCGCCTCTGTCGTGCAATCGTATGGCGTCCACCTCGTGACAACGCAGTAACGCAGTTCGAACGACATCGTTACAGCCGACACTCGTGGCATGCGGTGCCCTCGCGAGATCGCGACGTACCGTCGGCTCTCGGCTCCTCGGTGCCACGAAACGCGGCGCGACGCGGGGGAAGAGGCTTCATTACGTCCAATTCCATGTCCTCTCGCCAGCAGCGACGATGGGTGTCGCGCGATTACGTGCGTGCGAGCCGACGTCGGGGATTACGCAGTGCGTGACGATTACCGCGCGTCTCCCGTGTACACTTGATCTCCCTTTTCCTCCCTCCCTCTCTCTCTCCCCCTCTCTCTCTCTTCTCTCTCGCTCTCGCGTTCGCACTGCCGAAACTTCGAAGCTCCGATTCACACCGGGCGGAGATCGAGCGACGCGCGCGTAACAGGTGTAACCGCTTCTGCCGGAAGAACCAGGTGAGAATCCTGCTGTTTCGACGGAGAGAGAGAGCAACAGTTCCCCAACTACGGAAGCTGTCCGCGCAAAGGACGACGACCCTTCGCCTCTGGACCCTCCCGCCTTTAGAACTCACTCACTGAACCGACACCTTTGCCGTGCCGTTACCGGCGTCGGTTGTCTACCTCGACACCCGCTCACCCGTCACCCTCCTCTCGCGTACAGACACTCTCGTCTCGCATCCCGACGCGCTGGCGACGCGCCGTCACCGTTGGCCGACGTATTGTGTGCGTGCCACTCGCGCGTACCGCTCGGAACAACACCGAGATTTCGAAGGCCGGTTCCACCCTCCGTCACCCTTTACCGAACGCGCACTGGTCGATCCTCTAAGATCGTGGAAGTCTCGAGAGGAGAGGCAGAGGAACGCGGCGCACACACGCAACTCGTGTCGCCCCTTCCCCTTGCCCGCCCGTCCGCCCACCCCCAGTCTTCGTCGAACTTCCACTGTCGGCCTCCCTTTTTAGGACCTCTTCGCTGCGGGGGGCGAAGATGAGATACGAGAGGGAGAGAGAAGGAAGGGCGGCGGCGGTGGGTCGCCGGGGAGGAGGACGATGAGGGAGGAAGGGGAAGGGTGCCCCGAGGAAGGATTCGCGAAAATTTCTCGACCACCAGCGGCAGCTGCGTTCCGAAATGAAGAGCGAACGAGAGGTGGCGGCGACGACGACGACGACGGTGGTAGAGGAAGGGAGAGAGTCACGGTGGGCGCACGAACGGCGTGAGGACCGCGGGGAGGAAGAAGGAGGGAAGGGAAGGACGACGAAACGCGCGAGGCGGGGGAGGGGGGGGGAGGGGACATAAAAGTGGAGGAAGAAGCGTAACGGCGAGTGCACGCAACACCGACGCGTGCGGAAACGTGCCTTCCGCGAGTACCGGAGCTCGCCCCTTGACGAACTAACCGAAAGGCGAAGAAGGGGAAGTCGGGGTGGAGGGCTGGTGGGGACGCGACGGCGTGGCAGAGGGGTCACGGGAGTGGGTGGCAAGGGGGGACGGCGAAGAGGGCGAGGGGGAGGGTAGAGGCCGTAAGAAGAAGAAAAGAAGGTTTCGGGCGGCGGCCGGGATCGCTCGGTTGTCTGTGGTCAAGGCACGCAGCTTGTGCAGTATTCTCTGCGCGTCTGACGATGCCCGCCTGCTTCCCCTCAACGACGCCGACCGAGGGGTAAGCGTCGTCGACGTGGAAAGGGCGGGCGCGGAGGGGTCTGTCTCGCGAGCCTGATTTCGCCACCCTTCCCTGTACGGGAAATTGCACGCGCGGCGCCTAATTCTTCTCGTAGCTTCTCGTCGTTTCTCATAGCGATAACGGGGACGCCGCGCCACTCTTCCCTCTAATAATTGCGAATTTTGACAAATGATTCGACTTTCGCGAATCCTACGTTATTTTAATGAGCGCGTCAAGCGCGGCGTGGTCTTTGATACAAAACGCCACCACCCACTTTCCCATTTCTCTGTTGCTAAGCACGTCTTATTGTTAGATATAAGATGAATCAGACAGCCGTATTCAATCCCGTATTAGAAACGTAAGCTTTAATCTTTATATAGATATCGGATATCGATTACCATTCTCAGAAAAAGAAATAATTATCTATTCGTATAAAATTTTCTGATTTCATCCGTCAAGAATATTTATAGAAAGTTCTATTCATTGAGTGCAAAAAGTTACGTTACTTAATACATAATTCATTTAACAAAAATTTGCCATATTGTACAGTTGGATCGTTCCGTACTAAATAATTTGCCGAAAATCTTCAGATTTCAGATAATAATTTATATTTCCTATTTTTATTTGCAAACAAAAATTCTGCGGGTTGTATTATGTTATTTTGATATTTCATTATCCAATCTATATTTAATATTAACAGCAAAATTTAAATCATGAGATAACTGTTCTCAAATTACAGCACACGTCATTTCATTGCGTATTGCATTACACAATGCGATCGTCATATTCGAGATATGGCATCCGGTGAAAGAAATCGTAATCATCTTTTTCGCGGATCGATGAGAGGAAGAGAGAGAAAGAGAGAGAGAGAGAGAGAGAGAGAGAGAGAGAGAGAGAGAGAGAGAGAGAGAGAACAATTTCTCACCAGACGCGCACGCAGAAAACTTAAAACCGCACAGGAAACTACTCACAGAATATTATCGGATTTTCCGGCAACGTGGTACCACCCTGTTGAACGTACAGGCGCGAGTAGGAGTCACGCCTGGCACATAGTCAGCCAGGATTCGGCGTTTTGGTTCGCAACAGGTCTCAACCACCAGCGTGTTTTCTCCTTCTCTCTCTCACCCTTTCTCTCTCTCTCTCTCTTCTTT